ATTAAAATTCTAAAAGATAGTATTAAAAGCGATGGTTAATTTCTTTTTTAATTTTTCCTGTTATTTATATTATTATTAAACATATACACAAAGATTTTACATAGCTTATAAGAAAATATAATACAAATAATAAAAACTGGGCCCATAAGTCAGATAACTGCTAAACTCAATTATAAAATCCGAGTTATGGTTTGCATTTCTACATTTTATTAATGTTCTCTTAATACTCTAATATTAATATTATTGTTTTCCTAATTACTAAAAACAAAAAAAACATTTTGGTGCGATTTTTTTTGGAGTGTGTTGCGCACAATTAAAATTTTTATTATTGTTTCTGTTGGTCCTTGTCAACGCCTTTCTCCAGCCTTCAAGCTATATTTAGTCAACATTTAGCACTACGAAAAGCAAAAAATAGTTTCGCCCATTAGAAGCTAATCGAAATAACAATCGACGGTTGACCTCTGCTTGCCCCTTTGCAGCACAGCTCCCCGCACTCCGCCCACTACACCCCTCTCTGTTTGCAGCGCTAACGAGTCGCGTTCTCATTCTTCTTTTTCTCTTTGCTCTTTGCTCTTTTCTGTTTTTTTTTTTTATTATGTTGCACGCAGTTTAATTCGCAAATCAAACAGCCGCCGGGCAGCTTCGCAAATTCGCGCATACATAAGTAAATTAAAAATAAATTTATGTTTCAGGCCAAAGGCGAAAAAAAAGGTTCCACTCGGAGAGGGGGGAGAAGGGCGGGGAATAGGAGGAACAGCAGGAGCAGAAGATGTGTGTAAAAAGGGGGCAACGAGCACTGAATGCAAATCCAATTAAAATCGCCTAACTTGCCACAAGAGAGAGGCAGAGATACAGAGAGAGAGAGAGAGAGAGAGAGAGAGAGAGAGTGGAAGGAAGTAGGGGAGAGGGAGCAACTGGCGCTAAGCCGTTAAGCGGCACTGTGCGCTGATTTAAAGCACTGCGGGGCGTGTTTATTGATTAAATACAAATTGCATTCATTCATCATCACGAGGAAGCAGCAGAAAGCAGCAGCAGCAGCAGCCGCAGCAATTAAATTACACTTTGTTGTGGCTTCGTTCCTTTTTCATGCCTGTCATAAAACACAATTAAGCGCACAATGCACAAATTTTAATATTCATTCAAGCTGCGCGCCATTTTCTGCGCGCACAAGTTGGCAGGCTGGCGAAATCTACGCAATCTGGCAACGCTAATGATTGGCAGCACTGTGTTCAATCGTAATTTAAAAATGTTAATATCTTAAGCGTTCAAACGCATACAAAAATATATAGAAATACAGCGCCAGTGCTGTAATTCTCAAAAATTAACAATTAGAATCAAGCATTTAATTTTATACATATTTTATACACATATACGACATTAAGCGACCGCACATAAATGTCAAACAGTTGGCGCGTAATTTAAATACAAACTTCTACAAGCACAGCGCTGTTAAAAGCTCGTACTCAAAACACGCGCCAAGAGCACACCAGTGCTGTAAAACAAGCTCACAATGCGTGCGAGTGGCACCACGAGAGTGACAAAGAGCGAGATGCAAATATCGACAACCTTCCAATGGCAACGCAAAAGTGCGCGCGCAAAGTGCTTGCTGAGTCATGCTGCTCGCCTGTTACTATTCCGGTCTAAATCTAAATGATGCTGCTCATTGCTCTAGTTTATTTATTTGCTGGCTTTTGTGCCCCCTCCCAACCCCATTGGAAGCGCTGGCAATGTGAACTGGCGACGGAACGTGGAGTCAGTCAGAGAAACCCCAAAAACTCGGCTCAACTCTCGAGTCGCATTTGGATGGATTTTAAGCGCCGGTATACACACTCATACAGATGCAATAATTGAACTCGTGAAGCACCCGAAAAATCAAAAGCGTCCCAATTTCAAAGGCCGCCATCTTTTTTTTTTATTTGCTTACTTATTTTTTTTTGTTTTTGGACATGCGTTGGTCGCCGTCATCGTTGCACACAATTTCAATTCATGGACTCTAATGAACAGGCGAACAGTCGAGGCAGCAGGCAGCTTTGAGAGATTTCTCGCCGCGACTATTCACTCGTTCGCCGTTTTCATTTCGAATGAGTGTGAAGAATAGCGCAAGAGTGTGTGTGTGTGTGCGCGCGTACGTGTGTGTGTCTGAGCAGGCAAAAACATTTGACTGGCCAAAGCTTTGCCGTTGCTAGCGCCAATAAAGAAAAAAAAAGCAGTGTAGAGTGGGAGAGTGACTCACATGCAATTTGAGAAGCTAAAACAAAACCACTTGTCGTAACAATGAGCTTTTTTTCGTGTGTGTTGTGGCGCTGAGTGATGTGTAATTTGAGCTTTAATTTTCAGCAAGCGGTTAAGACAGAAATATTATGCTGTTGAAATTTTGAGTTTGGTTTTAGCAGCAAAAAATAGGTATGACACTTTAATGAGTGGCATACATGTGTGTGTAGCGCATTTTTTGTTACTCCTGCTGAGTTTGGGCCACAGGATAACAGCAATTTTAGCGCACATGAGCACAAAACAACCAAAAAAGCCAAATGTGAGAGGCACTCAAAATACAAACACAAATACAAATTTGTGTTCCGCTCATGACTTTTTCAAGCTGCCTGCTGCCAAACTATAAGACACACACGCATTGACACACACAGACAGAGGCTGACTGATAGATAGATAGACTCGCACACAAACACACGAGAGCGAAGTGAGAGTGGCATGCCTGGAAACCTGAAAAAATCCTTGAACATATTGATAAACCAGGAGTGCAGTAGCCGGAGCTGGCTGGCATTGCACTCCAAATGCCATGGCAATAACTGGAATGACTGCTATATGCGACACACTCCCCACTGCCCACTTCCAGTTCGAGTCTGTGTTGAGCAGTGTTGAGCAGCGCAGGTTCAGGGGCCATTAGAGAAGTGCACTCCAAGGTTAAGCAGACAAAGGAGAAGCATACACACACACACTCAAAAACACGCATTCAAACATAACCTCAAAGGTTGACTGACACTTGCAGCATTTGCTGCATTGCTACCAAAGATTCAAGGACGTTCACTTTGCATTAGAGATGAGCGCGTGTTGAGTCGCGGGTGCTTAGAAATACATATACCAACAATTTCTATATATATAATAATTATATTAATATATGTACTCGAATATTTTAAAACTTTTGGACTTTTTTCAGTGCACAGAGCTTATTGAGTTTACTGTTTGAGACACATCTGAAGCAGAAAAATTTAAGAAAAGTCTTTGGATTGGATTGTGTTTGGAAAACCGGAAATTGGAAAATATGTATGTTTTTATTTTTATTTTACATAATACTAATACAAATAATGAATAATGACTAATAAGTGCCAATGTCTTATTAACGAGTACAAGCCTAGGCCTTCGAATTGAGCTGGAAAAAATATAGTTTACTTCAAGTAGATTATGGAGCTAGCAGGAATAATCCTTAAAAATGTTGAAGCGCATATTATACTAATCTTTGTTAATATAGAAATATTCAAAAATGTATGTATATTTTTGAGCCATTATGTTTTTTTTAAAATGATAATTTAGATGCGCTTGCAACCCTGCCAAAACAAGAATGTGGCTCAAAGAAAAATGTCAAAATGAAATAACGAAACAATATACAAATATACAAACATCTACATGCATATGTATGCAACCTATATATATGTGTGTGTGTGTTTGTTTGTTTATGTGTATGTGTGTGAATAAGGAGACGAGCCGACCAGCGACCCTGGGACCACATTGAATGCAATAAAAAAAATAAATGCTGCTCGTATGTAGCTGTGTGTGTGCTGCTTCTCTTGTCTGTCCCAATTGTCCGTATGTCGCTTTGTTGTTGAATTCTGCTTCCTCTTCTTCGTTTTGTGTGGGAAAATTCAGGCCGTGGGAATTACATGTGAAATTTCGATGGTGCGCTCGAACAGGCGAAAAGCAGCAGCAGCAGCTAAAAGAAATCATAAACAGAACCAGTAAGCGAAAACAACAGAACAGAACATAGGACAGACAGAGAGAGAGCGAGAGAGGCGGAGAGAGAGAGAGAGAGAGAGCGCGCGCATAAGGCGGACGACACAACATAGCCGCAGCATATGTACTTATGTATGTGTAAGTTTGTGTGTGTATAAATGTCCCCCTCTCCTTTTTAAGCGAAATGTTGAGCGAGGGAGAGAGGGTGAACGGTGCATGGCCTGCATTGGACTGTTGAATTACTCTCACCTCTCTCTCCCACACACATACACTCCCGCTGTGAAAGGGCTGTCGTGTGGAAGCGAGAAAGCTGTATTGCCCTTTTATGCTGCTGCTGCTGCTGTGCAACATTTTGTGGCAATGTCAACGCACAGCGCACAGATTTTAACAGAACAATTTGGCATGGGCGAACAGCAGTGCGAGCAGCGTCACAAATAATCATGTTGCACGTTGTGTGTTGCATGTTGTGGCACACACACACACACGCACATACAGATGATAATAATTACTTTAGTCCCTGGCATATCTAAAATGGGATCCATGATATTTTAGCTAACAAAGGGCGCTCCGACTAAGCGCCCGTAGGCATCGCTTGGGCAGAAGGTTTCGATTCGATTAGAAACTGCAACAGGCCAGCAGCAAAATGCAGCAAGCAGGCAACAACTGTCGACTCCGCCAGTGAACCAGGCAGCCAACAAGTCAGCCAATTCAGCCATTTCGAAAACCGGGTCGCAGGCCCTTTGCTCTGGCTAAAACAAAGGCGGTAAGGGAATTTTATTTATAGCCCTGGCAAAAGAGGAGAATTGCGCCAAATGGGATAACAGAAATGAGGAACGTGGTTGTGCCTCATAGGATTCTTTCTCCAGTGTATATGCATATGTCTATATATATTTACTTGTATAGTTATTAATCAAAATATTTATGTGGCTGCAATTCGAGAATGCCTTTTATCTATGCGGGATTTTTATTTATTTTCCTATTATTGCTGATATTCGCAGTTATTTTCTTTACGGTATATTTATATATTTTATTGCTATATTTATATTTATTTATTAATATATATATATGTATATTATATTTGTAAAGGGGATGCAATGTATACAGGATTTTTACTTATTCATTTGCTAATTGTTGAGATTCCAAATTATTTACGGTTTCACATCAGTATTCGGGCACGAGGGCCGTCTGGTCAAAATAGTGTACCTGGTGCAATGGATATTTCGGAATAAGGTATTCCATTCGTTGATTACGCCTTAGAGCACATTCCAAATAGTCCCGCCATTGAATATTCTTCTTCACGTGGCACTCTTCGGATCTGCCTCTGTTGTAGAGCTCTTGTCTTAGATCCATATAAATATTGCGACTACTGATAAAATTTGGCACTGTCAGCCGCTTTGTATTGCCAATGATTTCTGGTTTAAGATATCTAATCACTCGGGGAATATTGTATACTGTCGAGCGACCAACGCACACCGTTTCCAAATTCGTCTTGCTATTAATATGTAAATATAAAATCAATTAATAAAATTCGAAAAATCTTTAGATGTGGAATTTATCTAGAGGACAAGCTTTGACCACAAATTGTTTAAATATTTGATAATATTTTAAGTAGCTTTCTCAAATGATAAATGTTAAGAGGGAGAAGAAAATATCAAATTTCCTTAATTTATCTATTTAAATCTACAATATGGTTGGTATTCAGTCTGAAGTACTATTATTCTTCAATTGTGTACTAAATTTCTTAAAGATCTCAAGTTCTTAAGTCCACATGGAATACGAAGACTGCGGGAGTTCTAACTCCTTTGCAATTTCTAACTGCGGTTTTCTTTGAGTGTATATAGAAATATATAAACATATACGTACTCTGGGATGTAATTTGGTACCGTTTGTAATCGCAAGTCATTTCTAAAGTGCCTTGCCCTGAAGTGAATCGGTGGGGATAGACTGATAGCTACTGCTTTGTTTTTCTCATTCAGCTCTGCCCGCTTTTTATCGATTTTCGTTTCCTTACTTTCCTCCTTTATTTGTATGGGTTTCAAATTTGACACTTGTTGTTGCTGTGGATAAAGTTGGTGGCGTTGCTGTAATACATTTAATACCGATTTTGATATCCCTTCTGTTACTGAAGTTTGCTCAGTTTTGACTGCTGCTTGTTGTGTTGGGACTGCATCCGGGTTGCTGTCCAGTGTGGCCAACTGCAAGAAACGAAGAATGTCGTTTTGAAAAAGACAAATTTTCGCTTTGAACCGAAAACCTACAATAATAAGACAGGCGACGCTAAAAGAACTTAATAGTTCACGCTTAGTCATACCTAAAACATTTACCGACAACTAACAATTTGTGTTCGGAAAACTGTTGTTATATGTATGCACTATTGAAGTTTGTGGAAAAGGGATTGGGGTTTGAGATATATCAAGAATGTATCCTTTTTTGTTAATATTATTATTCGAAGTTCCATGTACGTTAAACTCCCATTTGCAATCAGGGCTGTGGACTTTACATAATAAAGTTATTTTAGACTGGCCTGCATGTGAGAAGCAGAACGGTATCTCTAAAGATCCCAAATGTTTTTTGATTAACTTGTCAATGTATTGAAATCTTGATCATCCCACGACATTTCTCTCAATTTTATGATAAACTAACACGCATTTTTGTTTGTTGTATTTGATTTTATTTGTTTTTAATAGCCGTACACAGATATCCAGCTAACTGAACTTTATGACGCAATCTGTAAAATGGTTGGGCTACTTTTTGACCTGCACTCCCATCGTATTATTCACTCTGGTAACAGGGCCAGTTAGCGCTACAGATTTCAATTTGAATTTGGACATCAATGGAGATGGTTTTGAAAATGAGTATCTCGAACATGGGCACGATTTCAAGCCCCTATACAGCGAGTATGTGTCGAACTACAACGGTAGTGATCCTATCAGTTACAGCACCATGGGTCTTGGACCAGCATACGAATTGGTACGCATTGTATTTGATAATCTCTTTAACGATAGCCCAATCGGTAAAGGTAGGTGTTATTGTTATTGTTATAATTATTAATGATGGAATACCCATCCAAAAACCTCTGCTCGCTTCAGGCTATTTATCGGTTGTGAACGGCAGCAACATAGTCCTAGGCAAGAAGACTGTAAAGAATGAATGGTTGGATTTGCTAGACGAAAATAAATTGTTTATAATCGTGCTCCTCCCACTACTCGCACTTATAATTATCAATCCGTTCATTGCGTAAGTAAAAAAACTGTTGTAATTGCTTAAGTATTGACTTATGTAATGATTCATGAACAGGCTCTGTTATTGTTGCTTCTGCTGCTGTCGTTGTCGAGGCCGTTGTCATCCGTGTGCCGAGAAAACAGATTCTAGACGTCGGCTATTCTGCAGTATTTTGCTGATATTCCTAACCCTTGGATTATTGTGAGTGATATATATATATATATATATATATATGCATATGAGATGATGTATACTTAATGTTAATACCCATAGGATTGGCTTACTCATTGCATTTCTGGCCAATAAGCAGATTAATCGAGGAATGTCCGATATAACCACCAGGCTGGAGCGCTCTGGCGAGGAATCTTGCGCCTATCTGCAGGATGTTTCGAGACACATCAACCATTTGCTTGTCATCAACTATGATGAGATGAAGGATCATGTACTTGAACAAGCTTCTGGTGAGGAAATCTTTCTTTTTCCTTTCTTGTTTGAAAAAACTGTCCTTACGTTGATTTATTCGTCAGAGGCACATAAATATTTATTGTTGGATCTTGCTGATGTTTCTGGTAGCAGTAAGTTAGCCGAATTGGAAAGAATCTTGTACAACATGAAGCAGGCTAGTATAAAAATGAAACTAGTGGAAAAGCTGCAGGAAAGATTGCGATTCATTGGCGCCACGCTGCGCGATGGTAAATTATGGTCATTAGCCCGATAAAGAAAACATACTCGAAATGATACTGTTCACCTTTGAAACTAGGCATCCGTGGCTACAAGCGAAATATGATTCGATATTATACAGTCTTATGTGGTATGGAAGATTGTGTAGCAGCTCTCAAAAAATCTGGCCTTCTGTCGTGGGATACTTCAAAGTGCTTGCACTTAGATTTGGTATGTGAAACACATACACTAATATAAAAGTATTGTTGACAATCTCCCAGCAATTTTGAGTTAATCACAAAATACTCAATGCAAGTTTTTGTATTGAAGAACTTATGTCTCATAGAATTGAGATAAGAACTTGGAGTATGATTTAATATGACCACAGTCATAATGATGTTATCCCAAAATATTCTTATGTTCTGAAATTTTGAATCTTTGTTGACAATTTTTAAGAGTACAACATTCTCAATTATCAATTAATTCGATTAATTAATAGAGTATTCTTGCAGTTACCCAACTCCACAGTCTTTTCGGAAACTATGGAAAAGGCATTTGAAGAAAATTTGTACAACATACCCCAAATGGGCATACAGCAATTCTCGGCAATTGGCGAACAACTTAGGCAGATAATGGCTCCGATGATACCACCGCTGAGGGATAAGCTCATGAAAGGCACTTTTCGGATCAAGATTGAAGAGGAACACATACGCAAACATATCAATAAGGCGATTAATGAAATTTATATGAGATCACGCAATGCTTCAAAATCATTTGATGAAATTCATAATATGTTCGGCTCCAATTGGCAGCTTATCAATATTATTGTCTGCTTACTTCTACTAGCGGTAAGTAGATCCATCGACTTGTAAATATTTCAGATATGATTGGTAAATTTTGTTTTGATGTCGACTGCTTTACCATCTTATTGATTAGTTATTGGAATTTTTTGTAAATGTTACCTTATCGTTTCAGATAATTATCTTATTGATTACGGCGATAGTGTGGGGTATGTGTGTGCGTAAGAACAATGTTGGGTACAATGCTCTGTTAGCGTAAGTTCATTTCGCTGACATTCTTCGCCCTCACCTTGAAAATATACCTTGCAGGGCCATCTTATTAATATTTTGCGCATTCTCGTTTATAACGCTCGTTGGAGTGTTCTACTTGATGGTTGGCTTGGTCACGTATCTGGGTGCCTGTCAATCGGATAGCGCCTGGACGAGAATCAATATGCGTGACTGCCTTGAAAATGAAACCATTTTTGAAATGCTCAAAAGAAATAACATATATAATGTGGATGATGTGAAGGGCATCCATATTTTGAAAGAATACGACGACGACGATGAATTGAGTTGGCGCGGTTTTAAAGATGATCTGTCCAAAATTTCGTTTATAAATAACGAAGATGTGACTAGACTTAATCAAGTACTGGAGCCATTATTTCCGTATCACAGTAACCTATATACGAATATTATGTGCAAGCAAGTTGCTGTACCCGATTTACAAAACACAGCGAATAGTCAGTATATAACCGGCCTCAATATTATGTATGGCAAGTACAATGGCAAGCCAAAAAGAATGTGGGGGGGAGTGTCTGGCTTAATATTTTCGAAACAAGACCTCTTGGCATATGCACCTATTGAAAGAGAATTTATCACATTGGTTGATCGAATTCAAGACAAATTACGCGAAATCGATTCACTAATATTGGATAACAGCCACAACTTCAATGAAACCATTCACCCAATGATTACAACCATTCAAACTTCACAGCAGTACATAAGAGAAAATGGCGTGGAGTTTCTAGATACGGCTGGTAAAAATGTAACCGATTCGCTTATCGGTCAGATGGACCTCTATTTAAACATGGTGGTTACTGAGAGCAAACTGAGAGTTGGTCGCTGCAATCCTTTGGCCGATAAGTATCGAGGCGGTGGTGATTTCCTCTGTCGACATCTGATCGATCCCATTGTAAGTAGAGCAATTCATTTTCCGCTCAAACCAAAAAACAAAAGAAACAATAAGAGATTAGTTCAGTTCGAATGTTCAATCTGTAACACAGTTGCATTTTTAAGAACAGTCTAAATATTTCTTAAATCAAGCATGATTAGTCGGCTTAAGATATAAAGTTACTATTTTAAGTGCTTAAAGTGAAACAAAGCCACTTTCAATTTAAAGTGCATGTTATTAGCGTGTTTTACTTTGAGTAAACAAGATACTAAAACATCTCAGCTCCAATGAGTAACTACTACCCAACCAATTACAGAACGCCTTCTGGCTGGGTGTCCTGCTTAGCGCCTTGCTGCTTATTCCGGTTCTGTTTGTCGCTCACCGACTCCTGTGCATGTATAAAGTCTATACGCCTCCAGTTCTACATTTGGTGAGCGATGATGCGTAAGTATCTAACCACATATCAAAATTTTTTATAGTTATATCTAAATCGAAAACAAACTCCTCAGCTGTCCGGTCTGCACAGGCCTTCCATATGTACATAGGCCATTTACTTTAAGCGGTGGTCAAGAAGCTCCCAAACTCGATGTTAAACCAGTGGTCAGTCCCAAGAATAAGAAGGAATAACATTTATTTTATCATATATCAATATATATAGCCGGTTAACGGTCAAATCTAAGTCAGATATTACTTTGTAGGCAAATTAAATGACAACAAACATTAAAGGTTAATCAATGTTCATTTTTATTATAAAATCAACGAATTCAAAATTATGTATAATGAAGTTGTGCAAATGTGTGTGAGTATAAATATGCTTAATCAGTATCAAAATCCGAGCAATTTCCTGACTTCTTATAAACCATATGCATATCGAATTTGTTTAATTTGGTTGATAATTTCCCCGTTTACCGAAACAGTTTTGTCTTAATATTGATCATCAATCCTGGATTCCAATTTCTTATATCAAGTTGAGCATTTCTTCAGGTGAAACTTCAAGTTATTTTTTAATAATTATTTTAAGTATCTGATCAATTGTCTCGTAGCGGGCATGCTCGTATTCCTGGTTATGCTTCTGCCAGTGGTTGCGCACACGCTTCCAACGTTTCATATTGTCGGCCAGCAGCTGCTGCTTGCTGGCTCCTTCTAGGTCCCAGTTCTGAGTGACTGGCAGCGGAATCGGAATGGGCAACATATCCGTTTCACGTGCCTTGGGCATGTGCTTCAACACTTTCAGTTCGCCGCTGCGCTGTTGGGCGAGAACCTTTTCGGCATCATCCTCATGCTCTGGCATGACCATGGGAATGGAGGAGTCTCCGTTGGAGTTGCTGTTCTTCTTGGTAGAAGCGCTTGCATTGAGCGGCAGGTTAGAGACCCAGTCGCGACTCATGGAATACAGAGATCTTTCATTGCCGTGCTGGGACTGATCCAAGCGGCGCTCAAACCAAGGCATCACGCTGTCCGGCCGGGACGAGGATGGGGATGCCTCAGCAATGTCCACGGTTTTTTTGGACAGCAATCGTTTGGCTTTGGAGCGACGTGAACCAGGCGATTGGTCATCGGCTGATGCTGTTGTCGATGAGGCAGCTGATGATGCTGCCGATGATGTTGCACTAAAGCAGGTGGTAGCCTTTTGCTCTGCTCGCACCTTGAAACTCATAAATGTGGACATGAAATCATGGTCGACTTCCAGCTTGAGCTTTGCTTCCTCATTGGACGCTGCCTCGTCTTCGAGCTCTTTTTCTGCGTTGGGCACTCTTTTCTCTTTGGGCTCTGCTTTCACTTTGATCTCTACTTTCTTCTGGGGCAGAGGCTGGGGTGCATCTTCAGCTGCAGAAGCACCAAGTTGTAATTGCTTTGGAGTCACTTTCATGCTGCTTATTAAAAGAATTCTTCACAATTATCTTTTGTAAAATTCCAATTTCAAATGCAAATTTAATTGATGTCAGAAATGGTTATCGATTAAGGTGACAAGCGATTGTTCGATAATTTACAACTGTCTTTGCTCCTATCGATTGCGAACTTATCGTCCTGCTGTTATGCTAAATGTCATCTGTTGCGCATATAAGTAAGTATATACAAATATATATTCTTGATCTCAGAGACTTTATAAGCTAGGGACATCAAATTTGATTTCTCACATGTTTTATAATTGAATTAAACCCCATAAGCACAAAACACAAGTTTCACATAAATTATACTAAAAACACAAAAAATCAAAGGTATAAAAATTATACAAAATGGACGAAGAATATCTTACCTTGGAAACGGAATCTGAGACAGAGCCGAATATCGTAATCGATCCGGATGGCAATAGATCCATAGCATTTCCATTGCCACAGCAGGAGGATCCATCCATTTGTCGCGATGAATTCCTCAAGATCATACTGAAGCCCTACGAGCTTGTCAGCGAAGTGATGTATGATGTATCCACCCGGAGAGAGACGTTTCAAATGGAATCGGGTGTAACAGCCGAGGGAATGGCCATAATGAAAATGTTGAAGACACAACGAAAGGTCGTCCTTGAGGACGCTATCGTTTTCCGACCATCGCTGACATGGGAGGAGAAACAGATGCTATACAAAAAGGTATTGGATCAGTTTCAGAAGTCAGCCATCGAGTTTCTCTCGGTACGGCTGAGAAAGCAAATCGACACCATCATGCACATATGGCCGGGTGAAAGTGAGGAAATACCTCACAAGCTATTTTACTGGTCGCTAGAACATTTTCAGCGACGTCAGAAGGTCAATCAACTCTATCTGGAGGTGCTGCCCATTGAGAGAACCCGAGACGATCTGGACTGTTCGAAATTCTGCACAGATATCAAGGAAATTAAACGACTGCTCGCTGCAATCAAACTGGACTTTTCCAAAGGTAACGATCTGTGCAAGAGTGCCCTTGTATTGCTAGAGTGAGTATTTAGTTTCAACTGTTTAGTTTCATCTGTTTCACTTTACTGTGTTTTCCTCTTGTCATTTAGCGAATCGAACTATGAGTATAACTCAACGTGGGTATCGGAACTAGATCATCTGCGTAACGCTCACCAGGAGTTGGCGCTAAATAAGTATGTGGATATCATGCGAAACAGCTCTGATAGCGGTGCCAGAATGTTGGCCGATAACGATAAGGCTGAAGGTGAGCTATGAGCATGTTTGTATGTGATTCATAATTGAAGTGGTTTCACTTTACTTCAGCTATCATGCACATTGAGACGCGATATCGTATCAAATGGATGCGCTGTGCCGGGGAGCAGCATCTAATGTGGTTGGAGGCCAAGGAGAGCACATTTCAGAACGAGATCGAAGAGCTAAAGCTGAAAGTCAAAAACGATGAAGCCACATTTGCTTTCGTCGACTTCGTATATCAATATCAGATAGACAATTATAGGGCATCGATAGCCATATGGCAGGATCAGCTCGATGCGGATCTTGAGAAAGCCGAACTGGAGTGTAATATAACTCGAAATCATTGGACTAAGGCTAAGGATGATTTGAAATTCTTTAAGGAACAAGTCGAGATGTTCAAAGCGAGAGTGGAGGAGGTCAATGAACTGATTGCCGCAGAGGAACGTGAAAAATTACGATCAAGAATGTCCTCAGTGAGTTTCAACCATTTAATCAGCTGATTTGCGAACTTATATTTTGTCGTTTCTTAAGATAAAGACCGATAGGCGTAAGTCATCGATGAAGAAGAAGGGAACAACGGGCCAAGGCAAAAAGAAGAAAATTAAATTTGAAGTCGCGAACTAATCAACTGTGTGTTGGCAACCAAAACAAACCCATAAAACATACAAATAAACAAGAAATTCATAAACCTCCAACCCCCCATTATCCAAAATTGCCCACTGGCTGACTGAATCAAAATCAAAGTCATTGCTAAGCCAAACAATTCACAACAACTTTGTATGTACAAACATTTACCAAATGCATTTGTCAAAGCCAGACGGCATAAATATAATTGCAGCTGGACGTGCTTATACCCTGTACCCATAGAAAAGTATAACAAACATTGTGTAGCCGCTAGCCAAGAGGGTATCTCGTCATCGATCAGTAAATTCCGACTGTTGCTATGAAATTGGATTTGTAATGGAACAATTTGGAAATAATAGCATATTAAGTGTTGCGCTTCAACTTGAACGGAGAATGGAGAAATAAATCGAGTCGATTTATTCCCTAGTAACGCCCACGTGTTTAGGGGCCCCAATTTGAGTTTTATGTATCGTTATTTATGCGCCTGGCAACTGGTAGTCGCTTAGCTTTTAGCATGTTTAGCCATGTTGCCAGGCTGTTGCCAGGTATTTATGCTTGGCAAATAGCGCGAATCTGTAGTAGACATTTTTCACAGCCCCAAATCGGAGCTAATAAGTGGAAATATTTTCGAGTTATGCCAGCGAATCTGCGGCCCAACACAAATGGCAATTCGCCCGAGGATTGGCATGTCTTTGAGCTCCTATGTGGAAAGGCATCGTTGTCGACATCGTTGCCGTCCTCATTGCCAATGTCACCGGTACCAGCAACAATCGCTGCACGCTCCAATGTTATGGTAAGTCTCGACTGGATATTATAACCTGCCTGCCCAGCCCTGTCCCACCTTTAACGTGTTTGTCTAAAATTAGTGTTTTTTGGCGAGCTGCACTCAAATCGTGTGACAAATTGCCATATTTCAAATTACATATACCATAAGAGACTATTAAAACCATCAGATATATTTATGTGTGTTGTGTGCCTGGATTTTTGAAATGCTTTCCTTTGGCAAATTGAACACTGTATGCATATTTTCGCAGTGTTGCTTATCAGCGAGCAAAACTTTTTGGAAAACGTTTTTCCTTTTTATTCGTTTAGTTGTTTGTTGTTGGTGTGAAATTTATGCGGTTGTTAGGGCTCCAAAGTTGTTGTTTTTGTTTTATGTTCTTTGTGCTGGGGCAACTATTGATGGTTAAATGCGATTTGCATAAAATGTACATGCACAGTGGTTAAAAGTCAATAGGGGTTTGGAGAGTATTTAAAAGTGTTATACTGAAATTTTTGGCAATTGAAGCAAAGCTGTATTAAGTGTATTAAACAGACTAATATCAGACACATATATATATTCAGGAATATATGGTGTAAAGCAAAGTCAAACTTGTGAAAATTGTATTGATTTTCAACAACAGTTTAGCTTAGACAAAGTTAAGGCAGTGGAAAGTTTGGACCTAAAAAAACATTCAACAAGGTTTTTGGCAAAAAGGCCTCTTTTCAAATTTCAATCTATTGTTAAAGAGTGCAAACAACTATCTTAAAGTTATTGCTTGTCCAAATCGCTTGATGAAAGTGCTGAGCTTTGGTTACTTTAATTTCCGGTTTTTCTAAATTCGAGATCATATTTTTTTCCGAGTGTAGCTTTTGAAGTTTCCAATGGCTGTGCGTTAATTAGTCAATTTACAGTTCAGGTTTTACAACTTGCAAGCCTAAGCAAAACTTGCACACCTCATTTTCCGCTTCCGGTAGAAGAATGCAACAAAAAAAAGAAAAAGTAAAACTAAACAATATTGTGGCCTATGGAGCTCTAGACCCATTTCACACTGTGCATGAGGAGGCCTCTATTTGCACCTGTATATCGAAGGGAGTTCTCCATATCATTCCTTGCGTGCGTTCGTTTCAATTGCATTTTGCCATGTGAATGACCCAAATAACAGAAAACAAACTGAGAAAAACTTGGAATGTGTAAACTACCTAATAGAGCTCTTCCCCCACAGAACCCTTCCATCAGCCCCTTTTCACAATGCCATTGAGCTCGTTTTCACTTATGTCGCCGCCCTGCCAACCCACCGTCCACATAAAACAAAAATAAACCCCCCAAACTCTAAACTCGAGCATAAATCAGGAGCCCATTGCGGGTATATAGAGTGTGTATAGAGTTGTGTGGCTTGTGTGATGTTATGTTGAGGTAAATTCCCAGTTGTTAGGGTGTTGTCAATGCCCCATCGCTTGCAGCACGAGACCTGTCCACGCCCCAGGCTTCAGTTGGCTTCGAGCGGTTTTGCTGAGCAGTTCGGTTGGATTACTTTTATTGAAGAAGAGAAATTCATTTGTGCTTAATAATGCCCAGTGATAATCATCTACATCACCATCATCTGGGACTCAGTGGTGGTCTATCGCCACATCATCATCATTTGGTACGCTATGATAATAATTAGCTAATTGGAGTCAGCATTGTTGGGCTGATTAGATCTTTGAATGGAAATTTCAGCTTGATCTCTGCTAATGATTTCAGAATATTTAGGACAATAATTCAATCAATATGACAATAAAATCAAATTTATAATTTAAGTTCTTCCTTTTTGCATTTAACACATTTAAGATTCTTTACAAAATTGTTAGCATAATATAAAATAATTACTCTAGACAATATATATTTGCCCTTGTTCAAGCTGGTACGAGAATATAGCTATTATTTTAGATCCATTCCGGAATCTCTACCGGTTGGACACCTTGCTTTATTTAGTTGTTGCTTCTGTTTACAGCTCGACAACTCATGTGGCAACACAGGGATTACAGTTACAGAGCATCATCACGGCATCGATGTGACGACAACGTTGCGCAGTGAATTGGCTGCGTTGACCTACAAAAAGGAGCGTCTAACCAGCGAGGTGAGCTTTGGTAGACTTTGCCATTTTAATCTATAATTTATCTACTTATATGTATCTCTAACTGCTTCAGCTAGCTGAAACCCGCGGCGCATTGTGTGGTCGCGAATCGGATGTGGAGAATTTGCGAGCACAGGCAGCACGCCAGACGGCGTTGATTGCGTCGCTGCAGAGTCGCCTCCAAACGGCAGAGAATCGGGAGCAGTCGGTGCAGGCGCGTTGCGACAACACGATACACACCGTGCAGCGGGAAAAGCGTTGCTCGGATGAGCGCAACAAGGAGCTGTTGTGCAAAATTCAGCATTTGGAGTCGCATGCCGCCACTGAGGAGGCCCAGAAGGAGCAAGCCAAGGGCCAGCTGCACGATCTGCTGCGCCGCTTGAGCGTCTGCTTGGGGATGGATGTGTGCGAGAGCAATCCGAATAATCATGCGACGCCAGAGTGTGTTGTCTCCCGTACCGAGGAGGTGATGATTGAGTTGCAGCGTGCCAAGGCCAAGGTCACCTCCACCTGCGATACGCTCAGCTCCTGTGAGAACGAGCTACTCAATCTCAAGTCGCTGGCGAACATTGAGAAGCAGCGTCTGAGTGCCCAGCTCGACGGTGCAGGCAATCACAATCATGAGCTGGAGGGGCGTTGCCGACAATACGAACGGGATTTGCAGTTGCAACGGGATCGTCTAACCGAATCGGAAATCAATGGCGAGAAACTGAAGGAGGAGCTGCGTGGATTTGAGTCGCGTTGTCATCGTCTTCAAAACAATCTGGATCGCATTCAGTCGGATCGTCTGCAGTTCCTGCGCACACTCAGCCATCTGCTCAATGTGCCCGAGCCCTGCGAGACTCTGATCAAGGACAAGCTGCGAGAGCTCCTCGGCGAAAATCAGGCAATGCAAGCGGTGAGTTTTTGAACGAAGATAATAATAAGAAACTTATGAGGGAGAAGTAACATACTACGGGGTTTCTGAGTGCAAGCTTGACCAACTAAAATCATTATCACTTTTTCGCTCTTGCAGCAAATGCATTCACTGCGTGATCAGCTGAGCAACGAGCACGAGAAACTGAAGGAGGCACACGAATCGACGGAATGCCGCCTGCGTTCGGGCGAAGCACAGAAATGTGAGCTGTCGGAGAGACTGGAGAAATGCCACGCTGAAATACATACACTGCGCAAGGAACATATGGGTCTGTCGGAGTTCCTGCAGCGACTGGCAGGTGCACTCAACTGGAGCGAGTGCTCGGCACCACCGGCTCTGGGCACCGATACAAATCTCATGGCGGAGAGTCTGTTGGAGCGTGCCGAGCGCCTGGCGTCGCATTGTGAGCATGAGGTGGCTGTTGTTATGGACAAGGGAAGCTGCTGCGATCATCATCATCATCATCAGCATCATTCGGGGCATCATGGTGGTCAGGGCAAGCTGCGTCGCGAAAGATCCTGCCACGATATACCCCTGAAGGAGAGCAGCAGCGTTTACAATTTGCAGCGTCGCGTTCGCGTTTTACGGGAGCAAGTGCAGCGTCGGGATTTGCATTTGGAGCTGCTGCGTCGCAAGCTGGCCATCATTGAGGATGGGGCAAGGGGCAAGTGCATGTTGCAGGGGGAGCGTGATGAGGCTGTTTGTCGAGCCAAAAAGGCCGCCAAACAGGTGGACAAGTTGAGCGCACAGCTTGCCGATGCACGCTCCCAAATCGCTGAGGTCAAGGCCCAGCTGGCGGAGGCCGTTGAGTACAAGATCACATCGTTGGAGCGGGCACGCAAAATCGATGAGTTGACCACACAGATCTGTGATCTGGAGGATGAGAAAACCCGACTGCTCTCCCAGCTGAATGCAATGAAGGAGCGGTTGAAGTCCTCCTGCGAGTCCAATCAAAATCGACGCTGTCGCGACGAGGCCTTAATCAATGTGAGTAGACGAAAAATGGTCTGATAAAGTATCCAAAGGATCAGAGTATCTTCCATATGTCCATATCTTTGCTAATCCTTTATCTATATCTTCTCTTCTCCTCTCTCAGTCCTTGCGTGACGATGTGAGTCGCCTCAGTGCACAGCTTTCGGATGCAAACCAAAGGCTCTCACATTTGCAATCCTTCCGCACTTCGGTTGCTCGCACTCTGCACTTGAGGGATCTGCCCGAAACGGATTTGCTGCATCGTTTGCAGGCACTGTGCTCAGCCCACCAGGAGTTCACGCTGCTCTCGAAGCGCTTTGAGACTGCCTCCCCAGTTGGGGATCATCCATGTCCGCGATTTGATGATCCTGTGCCGCCCTCTAGCCACTGTCGCCCACCGCGTGATCTGAGTCCAAATGCAACGCATCATCATCAGAGTCACGCCCACTCTCATTCGCACTCGCATGGCCACGTCCATGGGCGGCAGCAGCAGCATCAGCAGCACAGGCAGCGCAGCAAGAGTCGCGATAAGCGTCTCCACGACGAATGCTTTGATTCGGATGTGCATCGATTGCATCACGGTTGCAAGGATCAGTTGCTGGGCAATAATTCTGGTGGCAGTTGCGACGAGGATTACGACTTTAAAAGCAAATATTGTTAGTCCGACAGTTTTTCGATCCTTAAATGTATATTCCACATTTTTGATAACCTACTTTAATAAATAATAAATGTATTTTATGCCCAGAAGATCTACAATTCCATTCAGATATAATAGCTTGATTTACAGTGACTAAATCAAAACAATGTTTTTCTCATATCTCCAATTCACAGTGCTTGATTTACGGTGACTACACAAAAAAAAGGGTTTTCCCCTTAATATCTTCAATTTCCAAAATCAATAGTCAAAGTCATTTCGTGGTGTATGTCTTTGCTAAGAGTGTGCAGCCCTCACCGCGCACGCCACAAGGCTGACAGCTATGAAACGCCTTATTTACTGGGTTCAGCGAAATCGCACACCTTAAATGCTTACTACTAATATATATGGGAAACGCATTTTCACAGCTGTTAAATGGGGAAAATAAATCAAATCAGAAACACGCAACACGTTTTTACCACCGGCGCCAGCAAATTTGCAATTAATCAAAAGTGCAGCAAGTTTGCTGTTTTTTTTTTTGTTGTTTCCCCTGTCATATCAGTCGCTGCCAGTCAAGATGCATTATTTTGCATGTTAAGCGAGAGAGGAGCATTTGCTTAAATTGTGCAAATTACACGTGAGTCCGCAGAATGAGCGGCCAGACATCGGTGCAATGAACTTGACTCCACAGATCGACCCGCTTGACTGGCTGGCAGACAGCCAAAGGGCAAGCGGGGCACGGCCAGATTCGATGCACTCAGTCAGAACGCAGTCGCGGCAGAAGAATGTTGGCAAAAAAAAAAAAAAAAAAAACCAAAAAAAAATGAAAGAAATAAGCATAACCAAAACATGCTTTCGGGCTGCAGTCGCCCCATGGCCAAGTCTCATGTGCTTGCCACATATGTGCCTACATATGCTCGGTTACTGATCTTCGCACACACACACACACACTCACACACACACATGTGCAGAACATTCCCAACTTTTGCCCGTTGCCTTCCCACTTCCCAACTTGCCAACAGGTTTGCTCTTTGATCTGCGTCTCCTTTTTTCCCATTACGACTTATGATCTCACACACTGACACACTCACTCATACACACACTCACACACACACACACACATACATAAATTGTGCGGAGATTCGCTCATTAGAGCTAAAGTCACTCAGGTGCGGCAAAAGTCTTTGGGGCAAATAGCTGCTTGCTAGACGACGATGAGCTCATGGCAAATCTTGTGTGAAATTTGATTGCAAGCTCTTGATTACCAAGATTTAATTGTTTTTGTAAATTATAAGTGCTCTTAAATTTTGCCCACTTAGTCTCGAATGAATTCTATAAGTAACTATTTCAAAATGAAGAACTTTCGGTTTCACATGGTTTTATAGATATGCAAATAATAATTTAACTAATTTCATTTCACAATAATTATTTTTTTAAATTAAATACTGTAAAGGACAATAAATTTCGTTTTTTGGAAATTTCCATATTTAAATAAAAATCAGTAATGGTACACCAAACTTTTTATTTATTTATGTAAAGATATAAAGATATTATATATAAAAGCAATTTATTTTAAGATTAAGAATTAACGCTTTATTGAAACCCTCATATTTATATATAAGTGATTCAAATGGAGTTCTTGGAACATCTAGATTTGATAATTACATTTGGCTGTGTATCCGTCTAAAAATACACAAAATCAGAGCAGCAATCGCAAACTTTAAACAGCAATAATCTTGCGTTAATTAAAGTATGTGTTTCTATTTTGAGTTGAAATTGAAATCTTTTGGGGTAAGCAAACTAAACTTAAGCAAACATTTTTCTAATGTAAATTGAACGGCATAGCTCATTTGGTTGTAGACACTGACCGAAAAAGCAATATTTGCTAAACGGAAAATGAGTAATTGGCATTTCATGTACGAAAACTTGTCAATCTGTTTATACAATATATACATATATATCTATATACTATGTGCTTAGATAAGAGCAAAGACACGTTCAATTTGAGTTGGCTTGATTCTGGCTTGCATATTTCAGCATGTATTAAAATGCAAATGCAATGCAATGCAATTTTGCCTGTCCGGTGTCCGGTATTGAATGGGGCAAGATCCAGGTTGTAGTTTCTGTTGCCATTGAATCACTTTCGAACGTGTCAAAACTGCCAGTCGTGGATGAGGTGTGGCACTGAGTCAAACTAGGCCAACGTCCACCGACAAATGGATGTGCTATAGAAATGGAAATGTACCAGCATACATACATACAAACAATACACACACACACACACCCATACATACAAATATGCGTGCATACAGACAAATACATAAAAATGTTTCGTTCAATTTGTCTTTTGAAAAATTCTTGGGCAGGCTTTTAACGCCTTCGCATTTACATTTCTTCCAGTTGGAATACTCTGTAAATTATGTTTCGCTTTGATAGTTGTACAGTTTATGTAAATAAATGGTTAACTACCAATTTATCAGCTAAGTATTATTGCTTTTCGACCTCTTTGCAATAAAAGTTAAAGAAATCTTGAACACAAAATATTTCTCAACCGTCTCAAATAGGAATCGCTTTCAGGGGTATTTGCAGTTAAGTGCCACTGCGATTTCAAGTTGTCCTAGGACTGTGCAAATATGTGTCGACATATGTCTAAGGTTACAGATGTGTTTTTGTTGCCTTTCGGTGTGTTACGTCAAATTGTTGACAGTACCAAAACACGTGTTGGAAAACTGTCGTAAAAAAAAGAGAGCGAAGCCTTACCTTGAAGGCGGCACATTTTCTTAGCTTGGCTTTTCTTTTGCCGATTTAATGGTTTTTCAAACAAAACGCGCAGAGGCAGCGGCAGCAGCAGTCGCCAAAGAAACCCAAACATCATCATTAATAGAACTGAGTGTGGGGGCCAGAGCCTGACTTGCATTTTGATTTCAAGTCAAAAGCTGAAAGATGTTGTTGATGATGTCGATGTCGGTGATGATGGTAACGATGATGATGTTGTTGATAAGGCATGCGACTGCCTGGGTGTGGACAGCAGCAACTTTGACATTTTACTCGCAGATATTTGATTACATGCTTTCGCACGGATTTACTTACGTTAAACGCACAAAGCAACACATTCCCCACGCATCACACTCAGAGAAAATCACTATAGTTGCGTAAATCTACAGTTGCAATAACTTCAATCTGTTTTTTAAAGAACATAATTTGTTAAAGTCATCAATCAGGATTATTCATTTTAATTTTCGGTATATAAACGTTTGAGAAACTTGCTACTTTAAAATATACAATTTTATGAGCAACAAATAGTTCTACCAACTTAAAATATAAAATATTTCGATCAACGTAGAATTAAATAAATTATATTGGTCAACTTTCGTGCATTTTATAGTTATTCTCTCAGTGTAAAACAGCGCACATCAAAGCAATATACCAGCAAACTTCCGTACATTGTTAGTTGCAACAATTAAGCCGCAGTTTTGTAGCAACTTTACTAAATTTATCCAAATGTTTGCGGCTTTGTTGGCAGCACACCCACACATACATATATACATATATGGAAATGACATATTATATGGCATCAACAGTGAGCCACACTCAGTAATGTTGAGTGTAGCAAATGCAAATAAATTGTACAAATTTTCAGATCATCGGGAAGCCAAAAAAAAAAGGAAAAAGAAAAAAGAGTTTGAGCGATAAATTTCCAGTGAAACGGGCCTTTTTGGGGGAGGAGACTAGATTTGGGAATCACTCTTTGTATACTGTAGCTATTATGCATTAAATTTCGATTATTCTGCCTTAACCTTGATGAGATGCAAATTTATATAAAATGTCATACTTGCTTCACACTTAATGTCTGGCTGCAGGCGTGAACCAACATAACTCAATTGCGTTGACGGGAAATGTGAAAAATGTTGAAATTGGTTGAATTTGTCGCAACACGAAAAATGTGTAATAAATGTGCAGAATAATGGCATTAATAAATGACAATATACACAAAAGCATACAACAATAAAACGACCATAAAATGCAAGCACATCCATAATAGCCTTGTGGTTGACCGAGCCACCAATCCAATTCCTCTTCCCTACTCCCCACAGCACTCCTATTCCCCCATTGGCTGAGGTCGCTCCTGAGTGCCATTCGATGTGTCTTAATTAGCATAAATGGTCGGGCACTTATGTACATATTCCACATGACCCCTGCACCTCTCCCCCTTCCTCGATCAGCAAATGGAGCTGCTACATTTGGCGGTGGCAGTGTCACATGATTTAAATACTTTTATTGCACTTGCGGCATTCAATCAACAGCAGCAGCACCAGCAGCAAAGGCCACTTGCAACGATTTTCATAGCACTTGAATAATTATAGGGGCACTTTTTACTCTCTGTCCTTCTCTCTCTGTCAATTGTAATTGTAATTTGTAATTGCTGGCACAATTAAAGGGAAATGATTTGGAAACAACGGATAAAAGTTCAAAGAAAACCATAAAAATATAATAATTATAGCCAACTTCAACAGATAAACTATTCAAATTACAAAGTTTTAACTTTTAACAATTTGCAACTCTTTAAAAAAAATGCCTTCGAACTCTTCTCCAACTCGTTAGCCAATTGGCTAACACACATTTCTTAATAGAAACATTTATACAGACAGATGAATACGTAACCAAAGCAACATGCAACATGATCTACTCACCTGCAGCAGCAACGAACAAATACAAATTATCTTCACTTTATTTTCATTTCTTCAATTTATTTCGCTTTGAAATCGACGCACATTGCAAGGCAGAAAAAGCCAATTATGTTGTAAATCACATTTTGAAAGATGCTTTGCAGTCACTTACAATTTAATTGCTTTATTTTATATTTTATTATTTTTTATTTTATAGATCTCTAAGAATCTGCAGTGGCAAACAACTCCCATAATTAGCATTGATTATTGAGAAACTAACAACAATTTTGCAGTTTTCCTTTGATTGGCTTTGTTTTACTTTTCATGAGCCCAGCCTCTAAAAGATAAAAGACAATTATTTTGTTTTTTTTTTTTTGTTCAGCTTTATTTGTTTTTGACATTTGCAATTAATGCAAGTAATGACGATTAAGAAATACATAAGTTTGATTTGTTGAATGTAATGCTTAGAGCTATTTACATACGATCCGCATGCCTTATAGCATTAGTCATAGAATATATGTAATATATATGCGTAATATATGTATGTATTATATTTGTATGTACTATGTATGCAAAAACAGTTAGTAAAATTTGTTAAGAAACAAGCTTAGTTACAATGTGGTCTTACAAGATGGCCTATAATGATGTATGAACGCAGCAAATGCAAAATAGTACTAACAGACATTTGATAGATACAAACCATATATCATATATGTATATATATATATATATATATATATCAATATATATTTATATAAATTTCATGTATTTTGACGATATTAGAAAACGTTATAAAACTCGCTCGCTTATTGATAATCGTTCGAATTATCTTATAATTATTGATTCTCACTACTTTGTCGTTTATATTTATATTAATGGTATTTTTACGATTTTTTATTTTAATTTTTGCAATAAATCTAGGAATATAGACGCCCAAGTGGTATCACAGATAACACACATACAGCTGTGCGGTAAACACACATATGCATAACTTAGGCCTAAGTGGCGTTTTAACAAATATTAGATACAAATACATTTCAACTTCTTCAACTCGATGCACAATTATTATTATTTTTTTTTTTAAATTTTTCTCTAATTGCTTTGGTTCGAGTTAAAGAAGCTCAACTGTTGAACTAGAACTACATATATATATTATTAATTTTATATTCATTTTGTTAGCTTAGGGGGGACTGGACTTTTGATTTTGTGTATGGGAATTGGTTGGTTGGCTAATTCTGCCACCATAGGGCGCTCGTGTTCCAGATCCACGCGCCCGACCCTGATCAACGATGCTGTTGCTGGGAATTGATGGGACCAAAGGCCTGCATGCTGTAGTATCGCTCACTGTCCTCCTTGACCACGCTGGTCACATGATGGAACTGGCATGGATGCGAGATTTGCGATTTGGGCGGCAATGGTGCCGGCTTCACTCGCTTCTGTTTCTTCTGCTTGCGCCCGGGCGCTGAGAGGGCTATGTTCTCCGGATCGCTGACCAACCGCTCCACATGCTGCCAGAGCTCACGGGCAGCATCCGTCGAGTCGAAACTGAAACCGATCATCTGCTGATGATTGCTGGACAGGCACATCGTGTGGAATGAGGGTCCAGCAATGCGATAATTGGATAGATTATCGACACGATCCGACCACAAGGCAAAGCACGAGCCGCGCTCCGCCAGCACCAGGGTGAGCCTCGGAATAGATCTCGCCCGGGAATTGCCCTTGTCATGGAGTATGACTGGAATGCCTGTGAAAACCAGACGCCAATCGCCATCATTGCCAGTGCCCTCATACAGATTAGCTAGAGCGCCACTGACAAAGATCTCGGTGCCGAGGCCCGCAAAGAAACTCTCCACCTGTCCACGCTCATACTCTGTCAGATTCGTGTTGCTGCTCGTGTCTGTGCTAATGGTGTCCGCATCAATGTCCGAGGCATTGTACAGCGATGTGGTGCCATGTGCGCTGCTCCGCTGTGCCGAGGATTGGGAGTGTGCTGACCAATCCTGGTGTAGGATGAGCTCATCCCGCTGCTCCGAGGAGGCGGTGCCCTCGCTGGACTCTGATGGCGGAGCCGAGTCGCTAACGGAGCCCAAACGGCGACGTGTCTGCTGCTGATGTGACATCTGCGAATGGAAAACAAAAAAACAAGAAGGAATCAGACAACTAAATTAGATTTCAAGTGTAAAAGCTTTTCAATTTCATATGTTGGGGTGCTTCAAGGGTGCATGGTGGGGTTTGGGGATTTACTCTGGCGGTTTTTGCCACTTGGCACATTGCAAAACCCTAATGCAATGGATTTTGTTCTTCTTACACCCTGTAACCATTATGAATTGTTAAGGAGGGTATCATCTAAGTTGAAAAGAAAGCCATCTTAGACCCGCTCTGGTATATATATTGGAAGTTCAATATTCAGATAAAAGCTTAATTTTAATTTTCGATAGTTCGCACATCGATAAATATCGACCTTGAAAAATTAGAATGTCATGTGAAACAAATTGTTACACGAGGGTATCTTCTAGTCAAGCATTCTCCAGTGCAGCAGTCTTACTTGTTATTGTTTCAGTTGTTACTGTTGCTTTTGCAATCAAAGTTGGCTAAAATAAATTCCCCAGCACGCGCTTTTGGTTTTTTGGCTGCACTTTCTGCACTTTAGTTTCAGCTTTGGTTTTTCTGTTTACTTTTTTGTTGTCGTTGCTCTTGTTTTAATGGTCGCTCATCTGGTTAGCTCAACTGGAAATTATACACAATCAATTTCCGCTCCAAAAACCGTAAACAAGCTATAAAATGTGTTCAACAAATAGTTGGCAATCTATTTAAGCCAATTGAAAATTGATTTATAAATTCGCCAGCCAATTTGAGAGCATATCAACAACACGAGGATAAATCAAATTTCTTTGAGCTGGAATGTAGTGTGTAAATTGCTTACGTAACATAAGCAGAATACTATGTTTCTTCTTTAATTTGCGGTACTACGCTGCGTATGTACAATATCAATATCACAAACCAAATTGAGCTGAATAAATTCAATTATAATGGCTGAGACTTGTGTAATGAATTCAAACAATTTGAATACAATTCGTTATAGAGGCACATAAAAAACCCCTCAGAGATTAATTGAAAGCTTGTTTTCATTAAAGCAAGTTATTTTTAAAAAAATGTGACTGGGAAATACCCGTTCAAAATCACTCGATAAAAATGAATTGCAATAAAGGAGATTTGCATTTAAGATAACTGAAATTTTAATTAATAATATGTAAAAGTTCCCCGCTCCAATTTTATAACGAAATATAAATAAATTTAATTTAAAGTTTTAAATTCGTATATGCACAATATATATTTTGTCATTCTGGTCAAATTCAAATTCAAAGTTCGACATCAAATTAGTACATTTTTGGAAACTTGCCTTCTCTGCAAATAATGCAAAAACGCTGGAAATTGAATACCTAATGTTTGTATCAAATTGCCTACGCTCCAAAACCGAATTGCTAATGACTGAAAACGAGAAAATGCAGTCAACCGCAACTCTGCAAACTCTCCCAAGCCCCTCTGCCCACCCTCAACTTCTTTAGCACGTGGACAGTGGCACGTTTTAATTAACGCCACAAATTGCTGGTCACGATGTAATTAAATTATTTAAATTGCTAATTTCCAGCAGAAAGTGGCGATAAACAAAAAAAGCTTTAGCGCTAAAATGGAAAGTGCGAAAAAAAACCAAATAAAAAAACTTTTACTTTAAAAACAAAATTAAAGCCAAGGCATAAATAATAATAAATATGAACCGAGACGAGAAGGCACCAAACAAAAATGCTGTCCAACATTTTTCGACACATTTTCACGGAGCAGGATGCCTGTGGCAAAGGACCCACCGGATACTGTGCGTCGTTGTGTGAATATCTCGCATCCGTTGCGAGTGCCATGGCACACTTTTAGGCCAAGTTGGCGAACACAAAAGTTGGCATAAAGTTTGCCCGAGGAGCTGCAACATTAACGCGGTTATCTATAATTCACACGCACACACTCGATGCCAAGGGGGCGCGAGCGAGAGGATGGGGGTGGACTGAAAACATCTTGCGGTGATTTCTGGATGCACATTTATTGTGCCATTATTTGCCAAGTCTACACTTCGAGCTGCTCCCCAATGTCTTGCTGTCTTCTCTTTTTTTTATGTTAGTTCTTTTCTACCCCTAAAAAAAAAACCGAAAAAGACACACAAAAAATATCTTACGAGCAAAGATTAATTGCCTCGACTTGCGGGTGCTCGGTCCAGGCAAATATATTTAGTGCCGAGATTTATTGTTGCTTCATTACATGCGCCACCCCCCAAAAACCCACCCACGGTCCCCATCCCCATGGGTTGGGAGTAGCGCCTCGGGGCCTTTGTCTGTTGCCAGTTGCAACATTGGGTCTAACAATTAAACAAAGTTCTGTCTGCGCAGGATGAGCTTGACGTTTTTATTGTTGTGGCAGCTATCGACCAAATGAATATTTAATGCCGCCGCCTCTGCCAGCTCAACTCCCAGTGGCCTTCAGAACATTGATATAACAGCAAGTTCAATGTCAACCCATTTAAGCACACACAGAAACGACTACACTCGGTGCCATGTGGCGTATACGCAATATTTGTGCTGCCAACGCTTTTATTTATAGCCAATAATCGAAATTCAACTCAGGGTCTACGTTTGTTATTTATGCTCATTATAACCAAATAACAGCTGCATACAGTACGCTTATATAACTCTTGATTAGCTAGTCGTAATGGCAAGTTGATCATTAGACAGAGAACTGCTTATTAAGTCATTAGTTCTAATTTTAACTTAATGTTGCAATTTGGTGGTAAGCTGGTTTGGATAACATACTTTAAGATTTAAAAAAAAAAATCATTACTTTAATAATAAATACGATTACTGTATCAAAAATTCAAATTATGATATTTTTGAAACACAAACTTTAAAGCTTTAATGCCCTTAAAGTGAGTATTTCAAATCAGTTTCATCGCTTTATTATCCATAACCTAACCAAATGGAAATTCGATTAAATAGGTCGAACTGTCGACTTGTATATAGCTTTGTAATGATTTTGATGAACTGTCAGGCGTTCTTATTCCATTTGACAACATGATTGAAATTGACAGTCCAAGAAGCAACAATAATGCCAGCCAAATCACAATAAGTAAACAATATCAACAGCAAAATTTGAACAAATTTTGATGTGAAAAGCGAATAAACCAAAAGAGAGAAAATAAAAATTGTTTTCTTTTATTATTACTCATGGGGCTTTTAGGGCAGGTCAGTGAAAATGTTGGGCATGTCAGTGCCAGAAAACAGAAAGACAAACAGAAAGCACACACAAATCAAACAAATTGAGTGGGTGCACACACACACACACACACATATATATGTAGCAAATAACATTTTCCAATTAGAAACCGTTGCAAAGGGTGTGTCGCATATATATATATATATATATAAAGAAAACTTGGATCCGAGGTCAGCTGGACAGTTGGCCGCTATGTTAATTTCAGCCTGCTACTTTTCATAGCTCCACATTGGCATTATGAAAAATTGTTCAAGTGCAACATAAATGGCAACAACAGCTACAAAAGGTGGCATAAAAAAAGAAACGTGCTGTGATTTAATTTTTTGTGACGTTACCAAAAGGGGGAAAAAATTCAATTAAAATGCACAAAGCCAACAACGTCTCGCCGAGTGCACACGCCCCAGGTTCACAGAACACCTGTACCCCCCCACCCTGCTGCATTAAATGGTTGGCGGTGTGTGTATATGTGTATATGCTCACGTGTGTATATCAACAAATGCTTAAACTTAAATTGAATTTGTTATTAAACCAATTTCGTTTGGCCATAAAGCAATTTGCATGCAAAGCTGAAGCTGCAGTTATACGTCTCCCACATCTCCCACACCGCCCAACACCTCATCATCAAAATGCTAGTCAAAAGTTGACATATCCGAATCCAAAAACATCTCTATCTGCATCTCTTTCTTCCTCATCACTTTCTCTCTCTCTCTCTCTCTCTCTCTCTCTCTCTCTCTCTCTCTCTCTCTCTGAGAAATGCGCTGAGTTCGCATCACAAATCGCGCTGCTGTCACCGCACAAATTCTAAAAACCGAAACGACGCTCAAGTTGGCAGATAAAAAATTTTGCGACGTTGCTCATACGACGCATTGTACACCCTCTTGCCCACTCAATCTTCCACCCCCCGCGCCGCCTAATCGGTCTGTCTGCTAACCGAAAAATTATTCATAAGAGGCAAACGCAATGTTATTTCGCATAAACATGCAAATTTCGCACCATTGTATTTGCTAGCTGTACCAAAGGCTACATCCCCAGCAACCCCCGTACCTTACCAACTAACCCCTCTCTTACCCCTACGCACTATGCTGCACTTGTGCCAATGAGTAATTTGCATATAAATACTTTTTGCCATTTCGGATGCCCTTTGTTTGGCTCCGAGGAGGGACTTGAGTTTAACATCCCAAAAAAGTTTGTCGACAAATATGCATATCTAAATACAAAACTGGTGGAAAATGAAATGCTTCGATAGTTTTGTGCCTTAAAGTAATATTCTGTAGAAACACCGAGAGACCTTGTATAAAGTAGTTAAACACAAGTTGTATTAATAATATCGAGTTTGCATAACAAAGACTCTGATATTTGTAGTTACAATTATATTGATTTTCTGTCTTTGTAAATTTATAAAGATCTTATAAATATATTTCTTAAATTTTTATTGTATATATATATTATATTTTCTCTATATTTGCATGTCAAAACTTTATATTCAGTTTTAAGTGTATTTAGGCTTTAGCATTGATATTCTTTATATTTTTGTTTTGTTTTCATTTTCATTTGCTTTTGCTGCTGCTGTTTTATATTTTGTTTTCTGTTTATGAACTTCACAACGTTCTGCTGGCATACTAAACAAAAAATGTACACAAAGCGACGCCATTGTTCAAGACGTTGACGATGATGACGAGGTTATAGGTAAGGGTTGGGGGGTTGACAAAGGGGATGAGGGGTTGAAACGTGGCTGTCAAGTAGCTGACTAATATTTTTGTTAACTTGCAAATTGCTGGCATCGCCAGAAACAGCTAACCGTGTGTAGCACTCAGCTCCCATGGCGAGAACGAATACAAATATGAGTGTGAATATGAGTACTTGTGCCGAAGTCATTCATTCAGCTTGCATTTGGGGCCTGTGCCACGTTCTAAGTTATGACAACGTTTTAATAGCGTAAAATTCAACGACATTTTGGAAGAATACGTAATGCAATTCCTCAGAAACAATCAAGAATAACAATACCAGAAAACAAAAACAATCGCATGTTTTCTATGGTTTATTTCCCAGTATGGTAATTATTAATTTTGCGCTTGTGAGAAATCAAACGTAACGAACACCGACAAAAGCTATTTTAATTGAAATATTAAATGACACGTGCATGGAATAATAAACGGAAAACACTCAATCGGTGCGATTGTGGGTGTCTATGAATCACTGCAAGTGTTTAATTAACTTTACTGTTTATTGAATAATCATAAACCCACTGCTGTTGCTACGCTTGGCTATAGAATTGTAAGCAATTAAATGTTATCCCAAATTACGCAGAACTATTTATCACAATTATTATAAGTAATATGCGCAATTCTTGGACGGATAATAATTATTATTTTTAATTATTTTGCTTGTAAATCAAAATGCGTAGTCCATATTTTAAGCAGATCTTTTACGGCGATAAGTGTTGAAGTTTTGAAAAAGTCGCTCGACTAATAAATACCAATGATATTATTTGTTATAGCTTGTATCACATTTTGTCTAAAAAATCGATTTTGGGTGGATTTCAATTTGAAGATTCTTTGCATTAAGCAAATATAAATGTGCAAATCCTGCTCAATCAAAATCACTTATAACTTGGTCAAAACGTAATAAATTTTCTCAAGTAACAATAATATTACATTTAAATTTGATAGCACGATCTACACTCGAAATTTCTCATCTGAGCCTAAGCCTAATATACCCCATAAAAAGCATTTGCCTATCAGCATTAAAGCCACAATAAATTTTGTAAATAAGGAAATGCGATAAGAAAAACTTAAATTGAAATCTTTATAATTTGTCTATAGAAAAGTCGCACAAAGAAAAAAAAATACTTGAAGATTTTTCAAGAGTTTCTTTATATTTGTTGTTATTGTTGTTATTCTATTTTGTTAAGGGCTCTGCAATTTTGAGTAATTGTTTGTACACAACTGCCAAGTCATTGCGATTACATGACTGAATGGATAATAGCTTATCGAGGGATAATAGAAGAGATGGTGGGGACAAAGCTAGAGCTTTGAGGAACTAGCAAGAAGCTTGTGCGAGCATTCAAGAGATGCGATGACTTTGGCAATAGCTGAGTGGGTAAAACTCTAGAGTGTCTTAGCCACAGCAACAGCTGCGGTTGGCCATGAATTGACAGAAGCCAAAAAGGCTGTAGGAATGCTGCCAAAAATGCTTAAAATAAATATGATCAGCGAAATTCAATTTGTGGCCAGGCCAAAACGATTTGGCAGCCATTCAATATATCTCTAAGCTGAGCCTGAGTTCTGGCCACTTTTCCATCCACTTCAACGACCCCATTGCCACCTGTTGCACCCATTTTATTTTACTGTGCGAAATTGTGTGCACATAACTCTTGATATTGGCCATGTAACTTGCTCTAGTTAACTTACAACTATATGTTTATTGAAATCAAATTCCCACTGGCTGCAACAATTAAGGGGAACAGCAACAAGTTGCATGCAAAAAGCTGCACCCGCCACCTGCCCCCCGTTGTGTGTTCCTGTGTTGTCTGAGCTAAATAATTCAGTGCTGTGGAAAATTGCCTCCGGTTGCCGGTAGCGTGCTTGCAACAAACACAATAACAGCAACAAAAACCACTTGTATAAAAAATTTCAATGCATTTTTCCACACACACGATTTGCATTTCTGAGCTGCACATGCAATGGGCGTGATTAACAACTTCCCTTTTGGGATCAGGAATTGGCTTATGCCACAGCTGGTTAGTTTCAAATTGAAGTTGACACTTGAGCTGTAGCTGTTTAATTGCTGGGTAATGTGATACTCTAATAACTAAACGTGTTGCAACACAATGACTTAACCATGTTATTTTTGTTTGTAGTTTGTAGTTAACAGGAAATTTTCTTAGACTGCAAATCTTAAGCAACTGATAACTCTTTTATTCGTCAAAGGAGAAAATTATACAAAAAAAGTTAACACAAATTATGATTTAATCAGAAAATTAATGCATAACTTAAATTATAATTCTTAGATACAAACATTATTAATTAATAATCAAGCCAAGACAGTGTGACTAATTAGTGGATGGAAATATGACTACAAAAATGAAATCATAGATAAAAATATTGTTTTTGCGATGAGACCATAATGAAATCATTCAAAGAAATAATTTGTATTAATATATAATACATCTTTTTTTTTGCACAGCTTAATAGTAATTCATAAAAAGAATAATAAATAGAGCTAAGCTCAACAGCTTATGAAATATAACTCAATATCAATGCGTAGCTTAAGGCATATTCTTATTTATACAACTACTTAGATCTAAACTCAACAGCTAATAAAATCGTGCGGAGCGCTTAAAGATGATTCAAGGCAACAGCTTATTATGTTCGTGATGGATAACTGGATTTATTTTTTGCGTCACGAATCTAACGAATAAATATTGATTGAGACGGCTTGCACTTGACTGAATACACTCAACTGAAAATACTACTATACCAAACACATTAGTTGGTAAGCATAGCTCAACTTTACTCGAGGCAGCTTGGTTGCATAAACGTTTAATTAACGCTGTAAGAGCAATAATTTAGGATACAATTTAAGCGCATAGCCAGTTTGAAGTGGACGTAATTGCTAACTGACTTGCTATTAACTGCTTGGCGCCTTCAGCTGAAAATCAACATCAATCCAAACATCATTTTAAATGTGGAATTTAGCTAAAATTGTGCTTCAGGCTGAGCGCGTGCCGAAGAGCTCAAAATCAAACAACATTTTAACAGAGATTTTGTCAAATTAAACTATTAGTAAGAAACAGTTTATCTAAGGCTTACGATAAATTGTGCCTGGTAAATTGTTCTACTACTTTGCCTACGTAAAGAATACATTGTAAATTTGTAACGGTTTTATTTACCTACGAAAGTGGGAATATACCTGGCCCGAAATATACCTAAGTCTGTCAGAAAGGTCATGAGCCTCAAAAATACCAAAGTGAGCTACAAAAATATAGATATATATAATGGGAAATTTGAAGTACTTTTGGAAAATTTGCTAATAAGGCAGCATATAAATGTGAAACTTCCTTGGGAATAGGTAGCATACTGTGGAAAACCTAATAATAAAAGCGGATGAGAACCTTCTATTTAAATATCGGTACTTTTAATTACCTGAAAAAGCTGTTAATTCAAATGACGTTAACTATTCCTATACATCATAAAATACTATAATGAGTTTAAGAATGTATCTCTAAAAATTCTTAAGCCTCCCCAAATCAATCAACAAATATTGTCTCTAATGTGTTGCAGTATTAGTAAATTGAATTAGAGCGTGTCGAGACAGACAGACATTGTCGAGACAGTTACCAATAAACTTTTCCCTTAATTACATACAACGCAACGTTGCAAGGCCAGCTTCAAGTTAGCCCTGGCCAAAAATAAAAATATATAAAAAAAAACCTGTCAACTTTGGCATAACTCAACCTCAACACGCACAATATCCTGTTTTCCACAAATAAAGCGTTTTAGTTGCTATACACGAAAATATGTATTATTATTTATATATGGACGTAAGTGATTATTCAATTCTTCTTATCACTATGAAAAAAGATGCTGCACTGTGGCAGAATGAGAGAGAGATATGTAAACAAAAATTGTTCAGTCTTGACTGTAGAAACCGGCATTAATACTGATAATAATTATAAGATGAAGATGAGTCTGGTACAGCTGCTGCTGTATATATTACTATCGGGGCCATTATCAGCCAGAGAGCAAAAGACTGACAGTGAGGAGACAGAGAGAGAAAGACAGAGAGGGAGAGAGATAGAGAAAGAGAGATAGAGAGAAGGGCGATAGCAGTTGCCGGGTTTGTTTGTTGTTTTTTTTTTTGTTTTTTTTGTTTTGCATACCCTAACAGAGGGTATTTTGTTTATTTCGTGAAGTTAATCCCATCCTATAAACACACATGTATATTATTTTGTTGATAAGCATAAAAACCCAGTAAATACAGAATGTTCTCTCCATCTTTTTACCAATTATTAACCATATGAACCGTGACAGTTTCCTAGCTATCTTGATAAATTCTTAAAAATCGACTAAATCTGAATCATGTACGTAAAATATAAACTATTAGTTCAAAAATAGTTCTACAAAAAATGTTATACTCCTAACAAAATAAGAAATTATCAATAAGTTCTGAATATATTGATAATATATAGGGTATCTAATCTTCGGCGTTGCGAACACAGTTGTTCTTCTTGTTTTTTCATGCAATTTTGTTTTTTGGCCAGACCGCATTGACTTGTTGCACAGAGGAGAGAGAAAGAGGGAGAGAGAGGGAGGAAGAGAAAGAGAGATGGAGAGAGAGAAAGAGAGGCTAAGACATGACTTTCGAATTCGTTGCGTGCCACAGGCAATTGAGAGGAGAGGCAATGGCAACCTGACATAATTATCTGCGATTCTCAGTCAGTCAGTCCATCAACGTCTGTGTAAGGCTCAAGATGTGGCTGCTGCTGCCGATCCTCGCCTACACGGTGATTTTTGTGTTCGTGCGTCACATCTATAGCTACTGGCGACGCAAGGGATTTCCGAGTGAAAGCCCCTCGCTCTCCTTGCACTTTCTTGCTCAGGTCTATCGCCGTGAGTTCCGGCACGTCGATGCCATTAGCGATGCATATCAGATGGGTCGCGATCGCCTCTTTGGCATCTATTGTTTCTTTCGGCCCGTGCTGCTCGTCCGCAATCTTGAGCTGGCCCGCAGCATTCTGGAGCAGTCGTATGGGCATTTTAGCGAGTGCAAATGGGATTATGTCAAGGGCTACAGACGAATCAACTTGCTGGAACGACTGACGCCAATATTTAATAGCAGTCGCTTATCGGCCATGTTTAACAATGCTCAGCACGTGGCAAACCACATGATGCAGCACCTGTTGGACAAAGCGGAACAGGGACAGGTACAGCTGGATATGCAGCAGTTACTCAGGGTGTAAGTATGTCAAGAGTGAAAATATTATACTATTCTTATCTCTTATTGATCATGCAAACATTTGACTAATATAAGCCTAACGATTCCCTTAGCTTTGCCGTGAATATTATTGGCAATTTAATCTATGGATTGGATGTCAATAACTTTGAGCAATCGGATCACATACTCAATAATTTTGTGAAACGTCCAGTTCAGTGCTGTGGCCTTCAATCATTGTATGTATGCGAGAACTTCAATCACTTCCAGCCAATAAAGACTATGTAATCTAGCACCCTTCGAAATGTGCCACAAAAATCCTCTCTGGCCTATCGCCTTCTGGACATCATCAAGCGCAATGTGGCATTGCGGGAGATGGGCGGCATCATACGCAAGGATATACTTCAGTTGCTGGTACTGTTTCGCAATGGCAATGATCTCAGCGGTGACAAGTGGAGTGCCGAAAATGCATACGGTAAGTTGGGACTACTCTGATAAACCTCGATATCATCCCTTAGTATCTCTTATCTCTTATAGAAGACGATAAACTGCTTTCGATTCAGCGATTGGCAAAAGTAGCTGAGGATTTGCTGCACTCGGCCTTGGATAGCATCGCCTCCACTTTAACACTAACGCTCTACGAGATCGTTCAGCAACCACTGATTGTAGAGAAGCTGCAGGTGGAAATTAAAGAGCTCGATTTGGTACATGGTCAGCTGCAGTTCGAGCAGTTGGAGGAGCTCAGATATATGGACATGTGCTTGAGGGGTAAGCTAGTTTAAGTGGGTGCACTCTATAAATTCATGTATCAGGCTCTTACTTAAAGTAGTACTGTTAGAGTGTGATCAACAAATGTATACCATAGCCTTTTTTTTGGGTTTTTTTTTTGTGATTACAACGAACCATTAAAGTCACACAATTTCTTTATAATTCGCGTACTGGAATAGCTCTTGAAAGCCCTACTTTGACTTTGTAGCTTGCAAACATTTAAAATTAAATTGTTATTATTTCCAATTCTACTCCACAGAAACTTTGCGCAAGTATCCACCATTGCCCATTATTGAACGCATTTGCCGCAAGACTTTCAAATTACCCAACACCAAATTCAGTATTGAAGAGGGTAAAACGCTGATGGTGCCGCTGTTGGCCATTCAGCGGGATGAGAAATACTTTGGGGAACCATTGAAGTATAAACCACTGCGTTTCCTACACGACAAATCCGAGAAAACAAGTGAACAACGCCGTACAGCTCTTGTGGGTTTTGGCCTTGGTAGCGCTCAATGTGTGGGTAAGTTGAAAGAACCACACTGATGAACTTTCCTAAAAATGAGTAAATTAATTGCATACTCCATCTTTACGGTGACAGCACAAAATTTTGCCAAAATGGTCATTAAACTGGCGCTTGTTAAGCTGCTGCACAACTATCATCTGGAATTGGATGCGGATTCCAACGTGGAGGTCTCACATCTACCAGCACCGTTTATAACCTCAAAAGATGGACTCAAAATGCAATTAAAAGCGCGAGAAATTGTAACACAGAGCAATTATCGCAAAAATTCATTTTGAAACGAATTTAAGCAACGATTTTAATTTAAGCAACAATTTGTTGAATATATATATATATATATTTAAAAACCGCTTCGCAACACTTTATATTTAAGTATGGTGGACTCCTAAAAATATGCCATAAATAAAATCAGTAAAAAATGGCCTGAAATTGGGTTGTTGTCGTTGTCGTTATTGTTGTTGTTCATGTTATTGTTGTTGTCTGTTCATTTCGCTTCGTTAGCAACGTGAAAAATGCCAGAGGCCCTTGGTCCTTGAATATAAAACGCGCGCACACTCGACGTATACGCAACGATGTTAAATTAGACATTCTATGTGCTTGTTGTTGTTATTGTTGTTGTTCTTGTTGTTTCTGTGCTATGGGAAAACTCATCGGGCGGAAAAGACATGTTCAAGCACATGAGCTTATCATTAAATTTGATTTGCTTTATTGCCAATACACATGACATGTGGCATTGTCTGATTTCTTACTGAAATGGAAATCTGCAAAAGTCACATAAAACAGACACCAACAAACCTCCCCCCATCCATACACACATACACACAAGTTCACACCATCCGATTTTCGATTTGGTCAACAGAAGTTTGTTGGGATGCCACAATTAGGCTGCATTATGAACTCATTTATCAAGCTCAGCAATTGTGGAGTGTGAAACAAGAGCGGGTGACAGAAGCAGAGACATTTTTGGCAGATCACAGCTCCTATTAAAGACAATTGCAATCAGTGTAAAGCATTCTGCAAAATTAACAACCAGCCCCCAAGAGTTGTGGCCAAAACATCAAATTAATAGAGCTCTGTGGGTGACCAGAATTGAAATCAAGACACTGAAATTGACTTTAGACACTGCGGGGGATGAGGTATCTCGATTTGAGCCGGAAATTGTGTTTGCTGTCAAGTCAGAGCAAGAGTTTTGGTTTCAACATTACAATGCAGAATTTACTCAAAGGGTATATAAGGCATAAATATACAAATTAATTTTCAATGAACAAAACAAATTTAGGATATGCTTTTCGGAATTCAAGAAGTAAGATTTCTGATAGTTTCAAGCACACTTGAAGTGTTTCATTTCTGATTTTCAGCAATTTATCACCTAAGAGCAAGCGTTAGAAATTCTTCTCTATAAAAAAAATATATTTCAGGTTTGAAATATATACATATACAAGATAATTTAAAATTGAAGGTATATTATTTTTGAGTGTAGCTATGGTGCAGTCGCTGCTAATGGCAACGAAATGATTAATTACGTATACGCCTCGGTTGACTCAACTGGAATTCAAGTCGTAATTGAATTGTTTGATGTCACTGAAAGATACGAGCAATTTAAAGAGCGCACAGAAAATACGTGTGCTTTCAACAGTTGCAACAGTTACAATAACAAAATACAGCAGAGCTCTTCAGAGGCACTGACCCAGTTGCAACACGTCGAGGCACCGAATATAAATTGCTGTGGAGATTCACAACAAGATTTCCTCGTAGATTTGCGACAGCCCCCTGGCTGAGTGTGAAAAGCAGCGCTTTCCCCTGCTCCCTTGCCTGGCATTGTCCTGGTTACATTTAAACATTACACATTGCATATTAAGTGGTCAAAATGGTAGTCCTCTACCAACCCCTCCATCCACTTCCACTCCTACTTGTTATGTTTTAAAGCGCGTGAAAAATGTGAACGCATAAAATATTGCCCAGTGGCATAAATTAAGAAATATTTTCCCCTTGGCGACATTTGACATAGAGAAATTACTTAAGTGTTTGCTAATTTGTTATGTACATTTCTTTTTTCTTTTCCTCTATTTTTTTTTTTGGCGTGTGAAATATGCGGCAAAAAGAGAACCCCAATTAGCAGCTGTATTTACTTACCATAACTTAAGTTTTTTGCTGCAACGAATGGAAGCTGAAAATGGCAAAAAAGAGAGAAAATTATACAAAATATAATTACAATTTGCATTTCTAATGAGTTTTGTTCATTAAATGTTACGATATTTATGTAGTTTATGTTGACAGATTCATTACAAACAGTTTGTTATTGAATAACAAATTGTAAAAGTTCATTACTGCAGCTTGTTATTGAACTGTTGGGATTTAATCTAAAGTAAACTAACAAACTATCAAACAGTGCAGTCAATGCCAAAAACTTGAACTGCATTTGACAAAAATAACAAGCGACTAAAAAGAAAGAGATAAAAAAATATAAAATGAAATAAGGCATGACAAAAAAATACAAAGAAAAAATACACGAAACTGACATAAAAGGTTATCAACGTCGTCTATTTTAATTAACCAATTGACATATGACTTTTGTCTGCCAATTGTTTGTTTTTTAACTTTTTTCTTCTGTGATGGACGCTATTGTTGCTATTTTTATTCGGATTGTTTTGTGATAAATGTTGTGTAAAACGTTGGAAACTTGTAAAGCCTGAGGCTAGACAAAGTGACTTCAATATTATATAATAAGAGAGATTAATCGCTTGCATATTTATATTAAAAATTTCTCCAATATATCAAAAGAATTTTAAGCAGTTGCCTAACTTGAGAAAACTCCCGAAATATTATGTCATTATAAATATATAGATTAAATACCCTCTTAAGCATAATAAATGATTGCCATTTACTTGGAATGTTCTGGCAATTAGTCACTTTGGCTGGATATGCGAGCTGTTTTTATAGACTAAGAATGGGCAAAATACATAGAATGATGTTGTAACAGGCAGAAGGAAGCACCTCTGACACTATGAGGCATATATGTATGTATATCTAATTAGGATGAGCCAAAAACCTTATATTCAGAATTACTAAGATGCATAGCAACAACCCCAAGCCATTTCTTCAAATAGTAAGACATATGATGGGTAAGGACTTGGGATCAGAGTATCTCCTAGTCGAGCTCTCTTAACTCGTGCATTCTTACTTGATTTTATAAGAACAAATTGTTGAAAATTCTTCTGAAACAAATGACATAATTTGGCTTAAGCATGCACTTAACTTAAACTGCAAAGGTTGCGGTGCCAGTTAAACTCAGAATCATCCTTACTCCTGTCGTCTTTGAAGTACATTCTTCTTATCACTTCTGTTAACTCGACACTTGAGCTAACAGTACTCGGACTTCAAAGGCGTCCAAGTAAACGACCTAAGTGACCTCAATGTGACACAGTAATAAAAATAAATAAGCGTCAACCATTCTTTACTCATGTGCATTTAGTATATGCGTACATAGTCATATATGTTTTTTTTTCTTTTCATTATTTGTACAACAATTAAATTTTGGATTGTTTGTGTACAACGTAATTATCATGTTGATCTTGATGAGTAACTGCTAAGCAGACAAACAGACTGACAAATTGTGAGGGACAATTATTTCAGTTGTTGGTGTTGCAGTTGCATTCTCACTTCTGTAGTATGCATATAGGCATACTTATGTAGAATGTACACTTAGAGAAAACAACAAAATTAAAAAGGATTTCTTGTGACTTATTTATGTTAATATTTTTTCTTACTTATCTCAAAACAGTCTTAACGTTTGGAATAATATCTTTGTCCGTCTCCGGATTTTAACAATTTTACCATTTGATTTTCGCTGAGTGTATATGAGTAAGCAAAATTATCAACGTCATCGTCATGCACTGACTGTGGCCTGTTGGTAGTTGGTTGTTGGTTCTTGGTTAGCTACTCTGGTTGGTTGGTTGGGGTGGCGGAGATTGGGGCAATGGATGGGGTTGACTTTTTCAATTTGTGTGTCTGGTGTTGTATTCACATACATACATGCCGCAATGTTGTACGAGTAACGTGCAACAAGCAACATGCAGCAAAAGACGACGCGGCTGCTTCTTTTGATGCTGATGTCGCTGCCTGTCGGCGTTGTGCGTGCAGCTGTTTGTTGTTTATTTTTTTGTTTGTTTACTCGTCTTCTTTTTTTTTGTGAATGTCACAATTGTTGTTATTGTTGTTGCTGCTGCTGTTGCTGCCGGTGTCTGTGCACAGTTGCCTTAATTATTGTCGCTCCGGTCGCCAGCATGTGTAATTTGTGTGTGCATAAAAGTGTGTTCTTATATATTTATATTTATGTATATTTATATCTGTTTACGACTTTTAATTAATTTATGAGTGTGTATTTGTAGCTTGCTTTTCCCAAGGCGCTTAAGCAGTGCATTAAATTCAACCAACAAGCAAGACTGCATTGGAACTTCACTTTAATAATATAAATCACTCGAAAACATAGTGTCAGTGTGTGTGTAAGTATCCAAGTACTACCAAGAAAGAAAATCGACTCGGCTAGTAATATTGCTCAAGAATATGTATACTCTGAGGGGTCATTCAAACTACACCATAAAATGAAAATACCCCCTCATTTATTGATTTGTACTTTTTACTAAAGTTAAAGAACTCGATAACATCATTTGGACCTGTTTGTGCCACATTTGCACAATTACAGAGCATTGTATAATAATTTGTTATAAATTTTGATTTATTCCTGCCACAGATTCAGCAACTGTTTGAGCAAAATGTGCACCGAAGCCTCAATTTGGAAAACTTTGGTTTGAGTTATGGCGAAGCAGACTGTTGAAATGCGATTATAATGATTATTAATTATGCATTCAAATTAATTAAATTAGCACACGCACAAATTATAGCGGATTGTGGATTTAACATTATATGCAGCTAATGCTGCCACAAATTCAATTGTACATATATATCCAGCTGGCCAATAATGCTCTTAGTTGGCACTGTTGTTGTTGGTTTTGCAGCTGATTATTGGATGGTAGTTGTAGCGCATAATAATAATTAATAAATATAATTTACACCTGTGTGTGTGTGTATATGTGAGTGTACAAACTATGATTTTCAATTTTCAACTAATTTGCAATTTCACGCCCATGGCCAAAATGTATATAATTCTTTTTCCGTTGCGCAAAAATATAAACGCCCCAAAATGGCAAGCGTTGTGTTTTGGTTGTTACTGTTGTGGTTATGGTTTTATTCTTATATGGCCTTTCATGTGACAAACTCGGGCAATTTCCGCTGCACGGAAATGTGCACAATTTAATTCCTTGCTTTCATCTATTCGGATGCCCTTGACAGAGTGTATTTTATTTTTGTCACCATATGTGAAACATATTAAAGCCAGGTCTTTTTAAACCAAATATGTTAGCAACTGTGAAAACATGTTAATAAAACTTGCAGATAAGTATTCAAAAACTGTGTTCAAAAGCTGACTAATTAATCATTACAGTTTATTATTTTAACATAATTAAAATATAAATAAATATACCTAATTATGAAATAATTTTATGATTTTTTGTGTTGGATTATTGTTGATAAGCTGAAACTGATTATAATCAAAATAATAAATATGATTTTAATAATTTTTTTTGCAGAGTATTAAATCTTTCATATGTTTGTGAAAAACAAGCTTTTCTCTTCTCCAGCTCTGCACAAATTAAGACATTCTCGGGACATCTTTTCGGCTGCCAAGCCAAGAAGAAGTTGTTTGGCTGCTATTTAGATGTCTTACTGTATTTGATGCTTGAATTTGAGTGCTCACTTCTCCCCACTGAGTTGATAATTTTCCGCTTGAGTTGGGCTCTGGTCTCTGCCTTACTTACAACTTCACTTACTGTTGCTTTTAATTAGAGTCAGCAACTTGCCACAAAAGCATGAGAGAGATTTCGTTCGCAATGCGAACGTTCCGCACTCGGCTAAAGATAATTTTTTGCCGTGAAAACATAAATTCAACTTGCTCTCATGCACAAACACCCTAACATTTATATACGTTACAGGCACGCACTTATTGGGGAGACCTTCTTCCATTTTGGGAGCAATAACCACCTCACACCCTGACGCATTAAGGTTTCCTTGGAAAATTAACAGCACTCGTGGCTTTGATTTATCGCGATAAGCGGATGTATATGTGTCGTACATTGTTCCCATTGTTCTTGTTCTTGTTGAGTCGCACAATGTGTATTCTGAATAGGGGGGAAACGAGACTTGTTTGGGGCATACAGATTTTGGCAGCACGTTGTCTGCCTCCCATAAGCATATGCATGCAGATTGATTTTAGCTTTAATTCAGTTATTTCGGCATTAATGGGAAAAGTGCTGACATCTAACGGATATCCTTACCCAAAATGAATGCCTAAACTAAACTAATTCAAAAAGAAAAATACATTTTAGCTACAGATCGATTCAAAGATGGTTCTTTTTACTTTACAAAAATGTTGAGCAGTAAAGTTGCCAACTTTATTGCAAATTATCTCACTCGACTTTGATAATTTAAAACTTTTATAAAACTGAATTCAAAGTTTTAATTTCTGCATGTTGGCTAAAATTAACACTAAATTTCGGTTTTTATTGGTGTGTACAATTTCTAAAACTAAACCACATTTTTTGTGATTGCTTATACTTCAGGTAATCCCACTAACGCTGAACTAAACGATATATTTAGGTTGAACGCACCTTCGTGCAACGTAGTTGAAGTACATGCAGCATATATGTATTGTATAAGTTTTGAAAATAAACTCAAGTTTTCAGCTTTGACCAAACACAACAAACAAGAATGAAAAGTTTTCTCTGCTTCTTGCCAAGCACACACATCGCTGCACCTGAGATGCAGTCAAACTTTAAGTTTCGGCACACTCCAAAACACCAGCACAACATTGGGGTGTGTTGTTGTTGTTGTTGTTGCTGTGGCAAAATTGTCGTTTATTAACCGAACAAACGCTACACGATGCTGATTGCTCCGAGTGCATCTGTGGTTATGTAAGTAATCTGCGAGCCAAGTTAGCTTCAAACTTAATTGCCACCGCCCACGAAGTGCCCTGAGTGGCAATACTGCAGTATACAACCTGCAGTACCCTACTGCGCACCCCTTAACTTACTTTTACCCATTGTTATCTTGGTT